GCGGCCGCAGGGGGCGCCCCATGGCATTGGGGGGACCCCAGGGGGACAGCAGCCACCTCAGGGGGTGCCCCACAGCCTCAGGGGGGACCCCAGGGCCTCAGGGGGTGCCCCATGGCCTCAGGGGGGACCCCAGGGCCTCAGGGGGTGCCCCATGGGGTTGGAGGGACCCCAGGGGGACAGCAGTCACCCCACAGGGCTGCCCCACAGCCTCAGGGGGTGCAGGCAAGCTACCCACAGGTTTGGGGGTCCCCTGGGGGTCCAGGCATGCCCCGCCAATGGTTTTGGGGTTCCCCTTACCTCTTCTTGGCGATCTCGTTCTGCCTCTTGACTTTCTCCTCCTCGAACTCCCGGATGTTCCTGACCCCGATTTCACGGCAAAACTCCTCGAACACCTCGTCTTCCACCTGGGGGGGAGCAATGTCAGCCCCAGAGGGGCTCCCCCAAACCCCTGACCCCTCTTCACCCCCCCAAAGGGGCACCCCAAAAAACCCCCGCACCCACCTGGTTCATCTTCTCCTTCAGGTCCTTCATCTCCCGCTCCCGGCCCTGGATGATCCTCTTGATATCGTTAATGCGAGGCCCAAAATTGGCCAATTCGCTCTCGAGTTTCGACTTTTCCTAGATTTGGGGGGGCAAAAAAGGGGGTCAGAGGATGCCAAGGACCCCCCCAGCACCCCAAAATCCCCCCTGGCAGCCATACAGACTCAATAACCCCCATGGGGAAGGCACGCGGTCTCCGGGAATCCCTCCGAAACAGCCGCTTTAGTGCTTGTAACAGCCGAGAGCCCTCCTGTAACACCCCAAAAAGGGCGTAACCCCCCCAAAAAGGGCGTAACCCCCCCCCAAAATGCGGTACCTGGAGGTTGAGGGCGAGGTGACGGGTTTTGGTCTGCTCCAGGTCGCTCTGGGAGTATTTGAGCCGCATCTGGAGACCGTGGGCTTGGGACTGGACTTGGCGCAGCTCGGCTTCCTTCCGCTTCGCCTTCATTTGCTCCTGGGGGGGCAGAAAGAGAGAAACAAGGGGGTGAGGGGGGGAAAAAAGGGAAGAAAAAGGTGTTTGG